CTGCGCTGTCCGGTAACACGGCCCTGCACTGTCTGGTAACACCGCCCTGCACCACATGGGGTGGGACCCATCCCCCGACAGTTCCCTGCCTGGCTGCCTGTAGCATCGACGCGGAGCTGACCCGCGTTTCCCTGCTCCACTAGGCTTGGCCAAGGGCTGGGCATGGCCCTTCCCAGGCAGGGCCACTCACCGTCTGTGTCACTCTCTGCAGGGAGTTCCTACGAGCCATCAACCAGTTTGCTGAGACCTTGATCCAGATGTTCCTGAGTGACAGCAGCTTGGAACTGCAGGTGAGCCAAGGGGCTTGAGCAGCATCCCCAGGAAGGCGGTGCATGGGCAGCTGCTCAGGAGAGTGGCAGAGCCCCCAGCCAGCAGCAGGGGTTTCTCCCGGCAGGCGCACTCGCAGATGCCTGGCGCACAGAACATGGAATATGTGTGCGGCCGGGAAATCGGCGCGTGGGCAGGAAATGAGCGGGTGAGCGGGAAATCCATGTGTGGATGGGAAATCGGTACGTTGGTGGGAAGTCCTCATGTGGGCATGAAGCTGGCGTGTGGGCAAGAAGTCCTCACATGGCGGGAAATCAACCCATGGGCGAGAAACCAGATCATGGGCAGGAAGTCGTGTGGGTGGGAAGTCGTCACAGGGACAGGAAATTGGTGTGTGGGCAGGAAATCTGCATATGGATGGGAAATCGGTGCATTGACGGGAAGTCCGCATGTGGGTGGGAAATTTGTATGTGGGCAGGAAATTGGCGCGAGGGTGGAAAATCGGTGCACGAGCAGGAAATCCACATATGGATGGGAAATCGGTGCATTGGCAGGAAGTCCACCTGTGGATGGGAAATCCACACATGGGCGGGAAAACGGTGCAAGGCTGGGAAATCGGCACGTGGGCGGGAAATCGGTGCAAGGCTGGGAAATCGGCACGTGGGCGGGAAATCGGTGCAAGGCTGGGAAATCGGCACGTGGGCGGGAAATCGGTGCAAGGCTGGGAAATCGGCACGTGGGCGGGAAATCGGTGCAAGGCTGGGAAATCGGCACGTGGGCGGGAAATCGGTGCAAGGCTGGGAAATCGGCACGTGGGCGGGAAATCGGTGCAAGGCTGGGAAATCGGCACGTGGGCGGGAAATCGGTGCAAGGCTGGGAAATCGGCACGTGGGCGGGAAATCGGTGCAAGGCTGGGAAATCGGCACGTGGGCGGGAAATCGGTGCAAGGCTGGGAAATCGGCACGTGGGCGGGAAATCGGTGCAAGGCTGGGAAATCGGCACGTGGGCGGGAAATCGGTGCAAGGCTGGGAAATCGGCACGTGGGCGGGAAATCGGTGCAAGGCTGGGAAATCGGCACGTGGGCGGGAAATCGGTGCAAGGCTGGGAAATCGGCACGTGGGCGGGAAATCGGTGCAAGGCTGGGAAATCGGCACGTGGGCGGGAAATCGGTGCAAGGCTGGGAAATCGGCACGTGGGCGGGAAATCGGTGCAAGGCTGGGAAATCGGCACGTGGGCGGGAAATCAGCACGTAGGCGGGAAATCGGTGCAAGGCTGGGAAATCGGCACGTGGGCAGGAAATCGGCATGTGGGCGGGAAATCGGTGCAAGGCTGGGAAATCGGCACGTGGGCGGGAAATCGGC